CCTCCTCCTCAAAAAATAAAAGTCATGTTTAGTCTTCTGATTTTTAGTGAAACAAAACAGAAGGTTAGAGTCCAAAACATGGAAACAAAGAAAAAAAGGGGAGGTCTAGTTTTCCTTAGTTTGCAAAAAGCAAAATTGCATTGCTTACCTGGGTTTAAAAGTATAGGCCCTTTCTTCTAAGCCCTAGCAATCACCAGGTAAATACATAGATATCCAAGAAAGACTGAAGCTAGATTAGTAAATATGCACCTAAGAAAGCTTTCATAAGCCTGGGAATAGCCTCAAGACAACTACCAAGATAAACTGAAATTTAAAAAAAAAAAATCTTCTCATTCTTCATTCCCTTTTCTAAAAAATCTGCTTTTCTCAGCAGTAGGAAGTGATCACTGAGATGCAGCACAGTTAGTATACATCCCACACTGTTAGTAATAAAAAGCCTCACCACACAGATCATGAGAATCTCTTCTATGGAACCACCCTCTATCAGAGAGGGCTATTTTTACCCCCTTTACTTATTTCCTGACATTTTGTATTTTCAGAAATACTTCAATTTAATGTCAGTTTAATACATTAATTCCTATATGGTCGAATTACAAACCGTGAGCTCTCAGTCATAACCTCCAATTCAAATCTAGAGCCATAGGGTCTATTGCTGTCTTCTCTTTTTCTTTATTCATAACTCCCTTCTCCGATAATGAGAAACCTGGCTCTCACTCTCTACTGTATATTTACTCTTTGGTTCCTGCCTAGAATAATGGAAAATATTTTCAGGTCTGCTAGCCTAAACCACTATAAACTGCAGGTGTATTAACTAGAGTTTAATATTTATAGTTTAATATTTACTTCAAATGTCCTTGAAGTATTTTCACAGATCTTCAGTGTGCGGTTCATCGAGCTTTGACAAAAGGATGCACTTGTAACTTCACACTGATCAAGATAGACAATATTTCATTCAACCCAGAAAATCTCCTCATGCTTTGTCACAGTCTTATCCCACTTAGTGATTCACTGTCCCATGGTTCCTGCCTTTGTGCATCACTGGTTAGTTGGGATTTGGCTAATTTCACTGAGCATAATGTTTTAAAGATTCAGCCAGTGTATTACTGGTTACTTCATTTTTATTAGTGGGTAGTTTGTATTAGTTACTAGGGCTACCTTAACAAAGTACCAGAAAACTTGGTATTTTATAGTATACATCATGATATTTTAAGATGTGCATTCTATTTATATCCTAATTATATCTGTAAAGACTATTTCTAAGAAAAGTCACATTTTCTGATACCCTGGTGGTTAAGGCTTCAACACATCTTTCTTGAAGACACAATTCACCTGTAGTAGTAGTATTCCATTGGATGAATATACCTTATTTTTAAAATATATGTATATTTTTAGGTGTAGGTGGACACAATACCTTTATTTTATTTCCTTGTGGTGCTAAGGATTGAACCCAGTGCCTCCCGCAGGCTAGGCAGTGCTCTACCACTGAGCCACAACTCCAGCTCCAATATACCACATTTTAAAAAATCCTTTTTAGCTGCTAATGGACTTCTGGGTTTGTTTTGGTTTTCTTGTTTCAGTTTGGCTATTATAAATAAGGCTTCTATGAGTAATCTTGTAAGAAATCTTTTTTGAGCATATGTTTCTATTTCTCTTAGATACATGTATTTGTATAGGATATGTTTAACTATATAAGAAAGTGCCAGCAATTTTCCCAAGTAACTTTACCATTTTTAACCTCTTTCAGCAACTTATGACATTTCCACTTTTTTCCGTTTCCACATTTTTGTAACATTTGATGTCATCAGTTTTCTATATATTAGTGATTGTAATCACTAATTACAATACATGGAACCATTTCATTATAGTTCTAATTACATTTCACAGGTAACAAATGATGTTTAATTTTTTTCTGTACTTATTATCCTTTCATTTGTCTTGTTTTGGAAATATTTTGGCTCTTTTACAAAACTGCCTTTTTTATTATTGATTTGCATGACTTCTTGATATGTTCTGGATACAAGTCTCCCAGACGGATATACTATAAATATTTTCTCACTCTCTCTTGGACTTGCCTATTCATATTCTTAAATGGGGTCTTTTAATTGAGTCAGTCTCTCTCTTTCTCCTTCTCCTTCTCTCTCTCCAATATTTTGCTGCAGGTATACGGAAATAACAACTTAACTTCTGTATCTTGATTTTATATCCCATTACCTCTCTGAATTCTAGTAATTTTCTTCTGTATTTCTTAGGATTTTTATAGAAAAACAAAGAATTCTGTTTTTCTATCTGATATTTATACTTTTTAAAAAAAATCATGTCTTTTTGTACTGATGAGGGATTCCAGCACAAGTTGAATAGAAGTGGTAACAACACATATGCTTGCTGTGTTCCCAGCTTTACAGGAAAAGGGTTCAGTATTCTCTGTTAAACATGATGGTATCTGTGAACTTCTTAACGATGCTCTTACAAGATAGCATTCTAGTCCTATTTTATGAAAATAATATGAATGGGTGTTGAATTTTGTTATTTGCTTTTTCTACATGATTCACTGAAAAATTAATAAAATCTGTGTTTCTTCTAAATTATGTTCTTTGCATTTAATCTGCTCATTGTTTTTTTTCTCTTTAAGATAGCAACTTCAAGCATTTATGAACAATTCCTGTAAACAATGCTTTCACTGCACCCTACCAATTTTGAATATGTTGTACTTTCATTATAGTTTTGTTTCAGATATTTTCTCATTTTTATTGAATATTTCTTAATTTCCAAATAACTGGGGATTTTCTAGACATCTTGTTATCTATTTTTAAGTTAATTGTATTGTGGTTAGGGACCATAGTTTCAGTCTTTGAAATTCATTTAGATTTATTTTATGATCTTTTCTGAGTTTCCCTATCTGCTCACACATATCACAAGCATTTTCTCCTTTAAGTCCTTGAGCATAGGTAGGAGAGCTACTTTCATGTGCTTATTCAATATTAGAGTCTTCAGAGTTACTTTCTATTGCCTACCTGTCTCTTGTTAAATTGATATACTTTGTTGTTTGCTTGCTTTTCTGAGATATTCTGTTCTACGTGATCAATATGTTTCAGAGACTGTTTTCTGTTATATTCTCTAAACCAAGTTCATTTTGGTTCTAGCAGTTAACTTGACTGGATTCATCCTTCTAACTCTTCTTCCCTACTCAGTGCAAGCTGGGTAAATTTGGTCAGTTATATTTGTCTTCATCTGCTCCCCTCACTCTTTCACCCCATGCTTGGAGTCTCCCACACAACTTTTTAGTTCAAGGTTTAGTCAAGAATTTGGTTAGAATTTATGCACAGATTTTGGAACTCTATCCTATGTGGTTCCCTACTAACAGGAATGTGCTCCTCACTTTTCAGCTGTTTATGTAATCCTATACTTTATTCTGTAACTCCTCAAATAAATAAAAATGTGTCTTTCTCTTTTGAGTTCTAGTCACCTTGTACTGTAGAGATTGGAAAATGACCCTAGCTGAAGATCAGTATAAGTGCAAGTCCTACCCAATACATTTTCTTTTATAAAAATTTGATATTTTTAGTTCCTGTACTTGATTCTTCTCTAGTATATTCATGTAGTTATTTTGTGTATTTTTTTTCAGAATTTGTAACAGTTAAATACAATACAATTATGTCAGTATAAGCTACTCCATTTTACTATAAGATTTTATTTTGTTTGATATGTTTCTCCATCAAACTTTCTAAGCTGATAGAATTTCAGTATGGAAGGGTATATATGATAGCTGGAACTTTCAGTATGGAATGAATAGCTGGGTTTATTTTTTTTAAAGAGAGAGAGAATTTTTTAATATTATTTTTTTAATTTTCGGGGACACAGCATCTTTATTTTATTTTTATGTGGTGCTGAGGATCGAACCCAGCGCCCTGCGCATGCCAGGTGAGTGTGCTACTACTTGAGCCACATCCCCAGCCCCAGTCCCAGCTGGGTTTATTTTTAAAAGTTGAATTTTTTTATTCATTGTTTTATGACTCCTTAGAATATATTTTTTAGTTATGTTCTTCAACAGAAACTTATTTTTTCATTTAATTAATTCAACACATATGTCTCCCTGCTCTGTACTAAGTAGAATGAAAAGTGTTGGTGATAGACACAAAACAGACATGTTTCTCTTTCTCATGAAATTAGTAATGTAGGGGAAGAGAAAGTAATTAATGAAATACTATAAGTAGATCTATTGCGGGGAGGGGATTACTTGAAGGAAAAAAGAATGATAGTATTGGAATTGATATTAGTAGGATATGGCCCTGTCTGATGGCTTCAGACTTTATTGAGGGAGAGATGTACAAACAGACTTGGCAGTTTGAGTGGCCAATGATTAAAGGGTCAAGTAGACTGCCACGCTAAAAGGCCTTGCTAACAAAATAGAGCATAGAACTTTTTTAAATTAATTTTTTATTTATATGTGATGGTGGTGGAATGCATTACAATTCTTATTACATATATAGAGCACAATTTTTCATATCTCTGCATACAAAGTATATTCACACCAATTTGTGTCTTCATACATGTACTTTGGATAATAATGTCCATCACATTTCACCATCATTTATAACCCCATACCCC